CAGTTTGATTTCATATTTTTCTAAAATTATATATATATATATATATATATATATGTACATTAAAACGTCCTTCCGAAGCGGGTGACGGGACTTCACTTCCAGCGACCGACAGCTTCTTACGGACAACTTTTGAACAAATCACCTGCCAATTTTTAATTTTCCCCCTTTTAGCGCCGACACTTGTAAGTTTAATTTCATTATTATTATTACAATTGTAAATTACATTCGTTCTTAAATATTGGCACCCAAATGCTTAATCATTTATTTGACATCTTTACATTCTTCAAACTTATATTAAATTTTTTTTAACAACAAATCACAACATTCTCTATAATTCTTACGATTGTGATAATTATGATTGTAGTAATTATAAATCTAAATAGTGGAGAAGGATAGAAAATAAAGAAATAATCTTCATATGATATTTATTAATCTTGAAAAAGCATATAATCAAGAACCGCAGGAATTGACTATATGATGGAGCATCAACTCGTATTAAAAGTAATGGTAGAAAGATCCAAAATTTTACAATAATATGATTATATCATCAAATACTCATTTCAATCATATGACAATTTAGATAATCATAATCTTTCCTAACCCACCATATGTATTATGCCACCACTGAACTCAATTTTGTTGCTTCCACGTTGAAATATCACACTGGTCAAGTCAGTACCCTTATTTATGTAACATTTTCAAAGACACCAAGCATAAACAACCAAGAAATTGATTTAATCAAGCTATCAATTTCACATCTTCCAAAGTTATGTCGCATAAACACGCAGTTGTTCTATTTTTCACAAATTGGAGAATTTCGAGTTAAAATGTTTGCCTAATGTGAAATTTTTATGTAAATTTAAGTGAAAGGTTCAGTTAACCAATGAGAACCAGTAAAAATAATTTAAGACATTTTCACTTATATTTTAGGTATGATTGTAAAAAATTACTAATGCAATAAACAAATTTAAATTATCATACGAAATAAATATTTATAGTAAAAATCTAAACTATTTATTATTATTATTATTATATTTATTCATTATTAAAGATATTCATCATTCTTATCTTCTCTAGTTATGTAGGCACACATATGCTTGCAATAGAATGCCAATTCATTAAATACATGTCTCTTACAATTCGCTCTCCCTTCTAGGATGGTATCAATCTATTAGAGGCTATTATCATCTACAAGCGTAGTCACTAGGGCTGTCAATTTGGCTCGTTGTTCGTGACTAGTCACTAGGGCTCTCAATTTGGCTCGTTGTTCGTGAACAGCTTGTGTTCGGCTCGTTAAGCAGCTCGTGTTCGGATCGTTCGTTTGTATAGTAATGTGTATTTATGTCTAAATTTAAATCATAACACCTCATGTAGCAATGTTGTTAGTGTCTTCTTTTGTATAGATTTGATCCAGGAAGAAAAAAAAAAAATTTATATAACTTTTTATATAACAATATATTACATATATTATTTATATAATAATATATTATATATATTTTTATGTTTAAATCATAACATATATTTGCTCCAGGTTCGAATCTCACACTTTACATCTATTTTTCTCAATTATAGTTTAACGAGCCAATTTCGAGTCGAACACGAACGCGAATATTTAAATCGAGTCGAACACGAACACATTGTTCACGAGCCGATTTCAAACACGAGCCAATTTCGAACACGAGCTATTTCGTACGAGCCGAACACGAGCCTAGCCTGAGCTCGCTCAAGCTCGGCTCGTTTACAGCCCTACTAGTCACTTCCTTTTGATCAACTTTCTAATCTCCATAGTCCAAGCAATTTGTTGGCATCTTCCTACTTGATCGTAAATCACTTATGATTTTTTGCAGCACTATAATTTAATCGCCAACCATCACATGCAATAAATCCCAACACCTCAAATGTCAAATCACTAGATCTCCACTATAGGCATCTACACCAAGGAATCATAGATACCCTGTTATTGCATCCCCTAGAACATGGTCATCAAGAACCAAATCCTTTGGCATGCAATCTTATATTTTTCTTGCAAGATGTCACTTATGGATCACTCGGCACCAACATTTCTCTTATTCCAGAAAAACCGCATCTCCACTTTAAGTTTGATAGTGCCCTCCACTTAGATCATTTATCACACATATCACAACAAAAGATGAGCATGATTGCAATACATTCAATAACTTTTCTAAGATCTCCTACGTTCTCCACTGGCTACTTGTCAATGGCGTTTATCCTTACTACATCAACCTCTTTGTTGACTTCTTAACGATGGTCTCACTTGCTAACTCCATCAGCACTTTATATCTATATGTTTTTTCGAATTAGCTTAGTTGTGCCTTCTCTAACAAAGTTCTCGTTGTTGACTCTTTGCATCTGACTCACACAAATTTATCTTTCACAGATCTAAAGCACTCCTCTTAATAACCCACAATTTTCATGCAATAAGACCTACAAATGTATTTTCGGTCGCTACAATTTTCAAGTTCAAATTGATATCTTTTATGCTACCTTGAACTTGTGAGCAAGTGTTATTATATCTAAAAGTGATCTACACCTTTTACAAGCACTACATTTTCTATGATATTCTCCACATTGTATTTTTCTTTATTATTTTTTCTCTTGCATTTATATAGTTACACATGCTCGTACAAAAATAATAATTCAATAATTGTATTTTTCTACCCATATATAATTGTCACAAGAAACAATTAAGAGCATGGGTCAATAATTGCATACCTGCATTGATCTTAGCAATGCCCGCAAATCAGCATTCTCTGCCATAAGTTCTTGCTTCTTCACTTCATAAGCATCAACCTGTAAACAGACAGAGACATAACGACAGTGTGCCCAAAACGTAAGTTAAGAGAAATTTTTCAAACATACAATCATCTTATAAAAGTCGCCATCAGCTTTCTTTCCATTCCATGTTCCCCGCTGACGTCCTTCTTTCTGTTAAGATCGGCATTGAAATCAGATTATGTAAAATCATAGCTAAAAGAAGCTAGGGGGAGCCGGGAGGGTAGAAAATCCAATGAACAAAAGCAATATTATTAACCTCCACAAGGAATAAAATGTTAGACTTGAAGGTCAGAGGAAATATAGAAATGAATTTCATGTAGTATACCTGAAGTAAATTCATAATCTCCATTCCAGAACGGGATTCTTTCTTCTTCTCCATCAAAACCTGGTTTAGCCTCTCCTACAGAATGAGAACTAAAAATCGTTATCTTATTCAATTCACCAGAGTTTAGAATAATTCTTGTGAAGCTTTACCATCATAATATGGACAAAATTAACTGTCTTTACAAAAACAGTTTAAGTTTGAGTCTAAGGTTCAAACTATCTTTCAAACAAAGAAAACTACCTGCAGCTTAATGTAATCTTTCTCTTTTTTCTTCATTTCATGAAGTTGTTGAGTCCGTGCTTGCTTAATATCGAAACAGAATAAATAAGTTAATTTAGTGGACAGCATGGAAACAAATTTTTTAAGTTGTAAAGAAATGGATGAACTATTTAACAAGCTTAAATTTGGAAAAGACAATTAGCCTCAAGACAAGATACTTTACCTGGTGTCCAATAACCATTTTTTGAAATTCATCTCGCTCTTGTTGTAATCTTTCAATCTGTGCTTTGAAAGTTGCAGAAGCTTTAGCCTCCTAATTATGCCAAGTCATAAAATATTGACAACTATTAGCCATAAAGATAACTCTCTTAGCTTCTAATCTAAACCTTCTCTCTAAATCAAGAAATGCCAGACAAACCGTTCGGGTTAATGTAGCAAGTTCTCGATCTTTGGAAGCTAATTGCGCATCAAGTCTTTCAACCTTTGCCTCTAATTTAGAAATGTCGGACTGTAACCTGCAATTAATTTTAAAGCTATCTTAGCAGAACTGCATGGAAAGTGTTTAAAAAGCTCTTCAAAAAGTCCAGCGAGAATTTCAATTAAAGCTACCACAATAAAAACAAACAAAAGAGTTGAGCCATTTCAAATTGCTATCCATCACGATTCCTAAATTGGATATCTAAAAGTGAGTAACAGGAGCGTCACTGAAGATGCAGAACGAAATCCAGAAAAAAACTTCAGTAACAATTCAATAGTCTAAAGAGTATTTCTTTATTGTTAAATTTAATTGCACAAAAGTCCATATTATTTTTTTTAGTCCATTCACATCATGCATAAACATAGTGACTCGGGAGCGTAACAGGAGCGTCACTGAAGATGCAGAACGAAATCTCAGAATATGTGATTGTGTGATACCCTTATTGCCACAAAACTGAAGCTTCTCGCAATCACGGGTCATGATTCTTCCGCCTGGGTATCAGATTCAGTCATAATGTATTTTCCTTTTTTCATTTTTTTCTATTTTGTTATTTATAATTGGAGTACTTTCTATCAGGAATCTATTTATGTGTTTCTTTTCCTATTTTGAGACAACTTTTAGTTTTGTTTATGTCATTTCGAGATGTTTTCTCCTGATTTTCCTATTGGAGTGGTGTATCTTTGGAATTCTTTAATGTGGTGTGTGTATGTAGTTTCGTAGGGTCAAAATAGTGATATCTCCAAAACTTTCGGAAGACTCCTTCATCATCCAATTTGCTGCATACTGCTGTTTGACAGCAGAAAATAGCCATTTTCCACTTCCGATTCGCTTTCATCGTGCCATTCATACCGGATTTCAACTGACATCCATACTCCCAATTTCCTTACCTACCCAACAGTTTATCTACCCTTCTCTTGCGTTATTTCACACCTTCTATGATCCCTTGAATGGTGTCATTTAGTATTTGAGCTAGTCGGAATCTCAGTTGGAATAACAAGACGTTGTCGTCAAGGAGAAACCCTCAACGAGATACTAAAAAAATTACCATGGAGGACATGTAGCGGGAAATCGTCCACTTGCAGCAGAGGCTCGCTAATTTTGAAAGAATGCAACATAGGGAAGTCACCGACAGCAACAACAAGGATCACCCAAGTGAAGTCGATGAAGAAAGGTAAAATTGATCTTTACTCCAAAGTTACCTTTCTTTTCTTCGTCACCAACAACAACAACGGTTTCCCCCAAATAGCTTCAAGTGACGAAGAGACAATGTCGTACCAATTTGGCATTAAGTATAGATGAGAGGGTAATTTCGGAGTAAAGATAGATTTATTGAATTTTAACGGTCACATGGATACATGGAACAGAACAAGTTCATCAAGTGACTCCAAACAATAGAGCAATTGTTTTAATACAATGATGTCCCACCAGACAGAAAGGTAAAACTGCAACAATCAAGCCCAAGAATGACGCATTTTTGTGGTGGGAAAATTTAAAGTAGCTATGCCAATGTGAGAGAAAAGCAAAATCACTTCCTAGTCCATAATGAAAAAAGAGATGCAGCATAAATATCTACCAATGCATGATAGGCATGATGTGTTCTTGAGGCTTCATCATTTATAGCAAAAAGATCTTTCAGTGGAAGAATATACAGTCGAGTTCAAGCAGTTTATGTTGACCTGTGAACTAGTGGAGCCCGAGGAAAACACCATAACCAGATATCTAGGAAGGTTTTGATTGTCTATTGACAATGTAGTGTGGTTGCAAATTTATTGGACCTAACGGGATGTTCAGACACCTAGCTCTAAAAGTCGAGGACAACACCACAGTATCAGGCTCGCACCACCCTTCCAATAAAATTCAACTTTAAGATCAAGCAGTAAGAGTACAGACAATGAAGCATCCCAATCTGCCCTGCTAGAAAAAAAATTAATTCAAAGTGGAGACAAAGTGGAGAACTCTAACACTCATAAATCATTCCCATCTAGGAAATTAAATCCCGCCACCCGCGGCTGCAAGATTATTATATTGCCAAAAAATCGAAACTTTCTGCGATCACGACTTCATTTTTTTGCCTGGTTATCAGACACAACCGTAATTTTTTTTTTTTGTTTTTTTCCAATTTCGTTATTTTTAATCAAGGTATCTTCCATTAGGAACCTCTTTGTGTTTATTTTGCTATTTTGAGAAGAATTTTGGTTTAGTTTTGTACTTAAATATGTTTTATCTTGATTTCCCAAATGAAGTGTTGTATTTTTGGACTTTTTTTAGTTGAAATGTTTGTATCTTGATAGGATCAAAATGATGATCTCTCCTAGACATTTGAACGCCTCTTTCATTGCCAATTTGTTGCCTACTGTTGTTTGACAGTAAAAAAATAGAGTTTCCTGCTTCTGATTCACTTTCATCCCACCATTCACACAGAATTTAAACTAACATTTGTCCACTTTCCTTGCTTAACCAACAACTTACCTACCATTTTCTTGTGTTCTTTCGCGCCTTCCAGAAGCTCTAGAACGGTATTAATAGTTAACAAGCTATTATTTAAATAGCACTCAGCTTATCTGGAAGCAATTTATTGATTAATTCAATTTTTGAAGGCCCTTTTCAAAATATGGTTAAACTTTTACAGTGTTCCTCGCAAAATCACCCACATGCGAACCAATCAAAATCCTCCGTAACCTGTCCTCAAATTTCACAACCAATCACATTTCTCTTCCTATCACATTACAACCTCATTAAAAACACTTTGCACCATCCAATTTCTTCCTCTCCCCACATTTTAAGTTAGAGGGATTTACATACATAACACTCAAAACTGTCTCATGTATATATTGAACACCTAAACTTCACTATTTAGTCACAAAATACCCAAAACTTTATATAACCAAAAATTAAAATAACACTCCCTCGCCCACTTAATTACAATTATCTCACCACGTCTTTCATGCATTGCAGGTTCTAATGACCTTCGCCAATGACTAGGCGGAAGAAGTCATTGTCCACAGAAGGTGAGAGTTGTGAGGATGTCCATGGCAAAATCGAATATGGCATCACAGCTAGAGCCAAAGCAATAAAAGGAATTTATGAAGTTGATGCGAGAAAACATGGCAAATGGAGCATGGGTGGCGGTGGTCTAGATGAAGAAAAGGATGACAATCAAAGGCCCTTCTTGGCGAGATCCCATCATGATTTTCTTACATCTGATAAGATCCATTTTTACTTCCTCTTCGTCGTTGATGTCTTCATTAAATATATTAATGGATATTATATGAATAATGAAATTTGGACAATAATATGTAAATGGGATAGTTAAGGTTATTTTTATTATTATTATTGTTGTTGTTGTTGCTGCTGCTATTATTATATAAACTTTTTTATTTCAACCATCCCCCCATAGAAGCCTCCATTTGCCTTCTAAATTTCAAAACCAATGATTTCTCCTCTTAAAACATTAATATCTTATTAAAACCTTTTGTACCATCCAATTTCTTCTCTATATGTTGCCAACATCAATTGATATAATAGTAGATTTTCTCCTTTTTCTAATTCCATGTAGCAAAACTAATGTCACCTTGTATTTTCCCATCAGTATTTCATCTTTTCAATAAATCCTGACATCAATTGACAATGGATTATTTTTCAACCACCCAAGATATCAATCACTAAATGCTAACACCAGCACACTCTAAAATCACCACCAACCCATGTCGCTAAATCAAAGTCGTCTACAACATTCAAAAGTCTATTTTCCGTTTCCAGCTTCTCTAATAAAAACTTCAACAAACTCCATCAATATTTTCTTGACCTATCTAGAATCAACCATACTTCATCTTTATCTAAAATTGGATCTTATTTATGTCCTAAAAGTGAATGCTAAACCTTTTTCATCCAATTATTAGGGGAAAAAGGGATACCAATCATCTTAACAGAAGCGAGCCTAGACTAGTTCATCAACAAACTAGATTGCCACTAAACTAAATTCACAGACCTTACTTGAGCATTTTCTCAAGTTTGGCGATCCCTTTACTCTCATTTTTATGAAATATTTGCTTTCATCAGAAGAATTGACCTCAGTTTCTTAGAAAATCAACATGTGTCAAAGTTTCATCTTATTCAACACTTGAGTATTAATTTACATATGTAAATTTAGGATTGTAATTTTTCATGAGCCAAATCTTATGTATGGTATAATCCTTAGCCCTAGGATGCTCCAATAAAAAAGAAGGAAAAAGGATCCCTCATCAATTATCCCACTTCAATGATTTTTTGAAATATTACATAGGATATGAGTTGCAAGTTATTATATTTTGAAGATACTAATATAGTTAGAGATTTGTACTGGACAAAGCTTTTAACAATAATAAATTTAATAATACAGTCCACAAATTTTTAAAGTTTGACATTATTGGTTCTCGGATGTACCAAGCACTATACAAGTTATAATTAATTATTTTTTATAGAATTAGAATTTATATGGTTTGAGTTGAGAACTTTATTATTTATCATGCTTGCTATTAATTCCATCAAAACATCGATTAACTTTATTAAATTGAGATTCCAAAATCCTAATAGCATCCATGTTTCTTTGCTTGTGCCATCATTCCATGCATACAATTATGTTTGTAATCATCATTGACTATAGCTTACTAATCTAGGGTTATTAAATGTAAGATACACCACCCAACAATATAAGGATAAAAATCATGGTGTTACAATGTTTACATTAATATTAAAATGTTGAGCACTCTAGTACCTGCCAAATAAAGAAAAATGATGTTTCCGCATTTGTTGGAATACAAAATTTTCAAGTATTATGGACATTAACTAGATTATAAAAAAAAAAACTACTATGATTATTATAGTAATACTTATCATAAGTGTATTAAATTTACTATAATCAAAATAGTAAGTGACTTCAGAAGGTGTTGGCAAAATGTTATGGTTTTAATGACCCCTTAGGTGGGTATCTTATAAGTACTTGGACTCATATGAAATGCAAACAAGGTGAAAATTCATGTCCTCCAAATACTATAAGGGTGTACTAAGCATTGCTAACTAGGGGTCGTGCGCTATTGCACCAAAGCTTTGGGAGCACATTGAGGTGTAATTCCTGAGGAGGTCGACAGAGCAACAGACTCAATAAAGTGAATAAAATGGTTTTTTTTTTTAATAAAGATTTAGTTGTTTAATAAGTAAATATATAAATATATGAATATTAAGATTTATGCATGTAGATCTCTCTTATATAGATTATTGGAGTAATAATAACATCATTTTGTGTAAGCTTCTTTGAAGGAATAGTTTATCTTCATATAGCCCTTATATCATGTTTGATGACGCCTACTGAGAGATTTTTTTAATTAAGTCTTAAAAAATCCAAAATAATAATTATCTATTGTTTTACATTCTAAGCACATTATTTTCCCAAGACAACTTATACTCATCCTTACATAACCCCAACATACATTACATGTTTGTTTTGAATTGTTGGGGGATATTTGAAGCTTGCTAGAACAAAAAGAAGAAGAAGAAGTTTGAGTGGGGTCGACTACATGAATCTTATTTGTAGCTTATAAAATAAAATTTAGCAATTTTTAATGGTGACTACAAAGCTATAAGACTTGCTTTTAAATATTTTAAAATTATAGAAAAAACTTATTATGTTTTAATTTGCATACCTCTTAATTGCATACTAAGCACCTTTAAAAATCTCCATGCCTAGTTAAGACCATAAAAAATTATATAATATTATTAGAAAGTTAGGATTACAAGCATATGTACTTGCTTTGACTCATAGCATAATAATGAAGCCTATTTTCAATATGAACGACTTCTCATCTCATCAAGGTTAGAGCTATTACAAACTGCATATGTTTTAAAAATGGGGTTTTGCTAGCAATTTATATATCAACTTCGCCGTCAACTCTAAATCATATGTTTAGTCATATATTTTTTTTTTAAGGGTGCAACATTAGGGCTTCCTAGTAGGCCATCCATCCCAATACTACCCTTGCCCAAGCACATATGTTTAATAATAACTGGACCTTCTTAATTATGCATGTTGAACTTCAATATTTGTCTCCTAGCTTGCATGATACATGACTACCACTCTTCAAAGATGAGTTCTTATGACCTGGCTGAAATGATGTGCAAGGCCATTAGGTTGATTGTGGGATTTCAAACATTAGCTAGTGTTATCTAACTAGAATTCAAGGTCGACTAAAAGAATCTTCAAAATCAATTCAGCATTTCATAGAATTTATTTGTTCTTTTTTGTAATATACTTAATTCATATTTCATTTTCTTTTAATATTCATTTTTTTTTAATAATAAGGCAGCTTATAGAGGTACATTAGTCACTAGGTAGTCAAGCACTAAATACAAAAAGCCAATGTTGTATTATTTGGAAGCAAATTATCAATGGATAAAATTTTTGGCTGCCCTTTTGAAGATTGGTTCAAGCATTGATCATGCAAAGTTGAGTAAAGCAAGGTTCTCTAATGGAAGGCAAGGTCTCCATTGTACAGTGGGGTGCATTCAAGCGGCTCAAGTGATTCATCTTCTTGGATCATTATATTAGCTCTCTCAAGTTCGAAACAAAACCCCTTCGGACGATCAACAAACAGAATAATAAGGCAAAACTTTCATTTGTCAATATCTAGTGGAAATGCTCAATTGAAAACATCGGTAAAAAAAAAGGAACCTCTGCCTCTGCTCACTCGACGACTCCCGAAACTCTATATCCCGCTGCCTCAGCTGGAGCAGAGCATATATGCAATTGCAAGTTCTTGCGACCGAAACCTAAAACCCAAAATAATAATAATAATAATAATAATAAATTAAAATCACAACGCTTTCTACATCAAACAATAATAAAAAATAAAAAAAAAAATCGTTCATACTCACTGGATCTGTAATGTTTCTAATGAGAAAAGATCGAGCGAGGCAGGAAATCCGAAGGTAACCAACGTCTGATTTAGGTACTTGGCGGAGGGCTCCAGGTTTCCGACCTCAGCAAAGCTGTACTCCCTGCACCGTCCAGCAAGAAAACTCATAAACACCTACCAAAGAACCAATAAATAGCTCATCATTGGTTCAACAAAGTGAGATCTCCTCACCCGGTTCCAAGAGCCGGCAGCCCCGACGCCTGCATTGTTGATTCAGAAACCGGTCAGAGAAAAGTAGAAAATGAAGGAGGGAGAGGGAGCGAGAGAGGAAGAGACCCCAAGATCAAAGTCGGAATAAGTCGAATGCATCTCGAATCGGTAACTAGGTCTCGCCTGGCTCAGTAACGAAGACACTGTGGGGATCTTCGCCGGCGTACTGTTTGACCTGTGAGAAATTTTGAACAGAAGCGGCGGAGTAGAAGTGTTGAAGGGGACGGAAATTAGGAAGATTTCAATTCCTATGTATTTTCATATGTGACATTTAAACATCAATATATATAT